CGCCTAATTAAACAGACTTTGCTACGCAACCGCTCACTAACCATTTGTAATTAGTAAAAGTACTTTTGATTTCCTATGCATGGAATCTCTTGGTCTTTCTTTCCTAATTATATAATGGAGGGATGCTGACACACACACATGCACACAGGTTCTAGTTTAGGGTACCTTGGAGGTTTGCAGAAGCTTAAAAAATTTTGAGCTTGGAAAGCCTTGTTTGAAAATGTATTTATTTGAATCTCATCTTCATTGTTTTTACAAATAAAGGCAGTGAACATATCCAATACACCTTCCTTTTCCTATTTTCCCCACAAGAACAGTCCTATGGAATGTCCCAAAGGTGCTTTTTGGAAAAAAAAGGCAGCTGGATTTTTCTTTGTTTTTTCCTTGAAGACATTTCTCTCCTCATCCAAGAAGCTTCTTCATTTCTTGGATGAGAAGCAAAAGGTCTCCAAGGAAAAATAAAGGAAGTCCAGTTGCTTTTTGAAAAAGGCCCCTTGGGGACAACCATGGCCTGGATGACTGAGAATCACCATAGACAATCCTATGGTATGGTGAGTTGGATTGAGAGAAAGTGACTGGGCCAAGGTCACGCAGCTGGTTTTGAATGCCTGGTCTCCTAGTTCCTAACCCGGTGCCTTAAATCAGTAGCTCAACTGATTCTCAGAATCAAAATCAGAAAAAAAAGGCAGCTGGATTTTTCTTGACATCTTTCGATGGCTGTCTGAACGATTTCAAGCTTGTGTTTCTCTGTGTATTCTTCATTAGCAACTTCATACGCTTGAAAAAGATTTGGTCTCCGCCTGCGACCTTTTGGGAGTTGGAGCAGAATATGCCCGTGTGGTAGGATCAGAATATACAAGGTGGGTGGCTTTTTGATTCACCGGGAGAAAGTGAACAGACCGAGTTATGAAATATGTTCCGTACTCTTTTGCAGATTGCAGTATTTTAAAAGGATTTTATTAAAGTCTGGTTGAACATAAAATACAAATGAAAGTAAAGACAATAGGGAAAATGGGAAAAGAAAAAGATGGGAAAAGGATATGAAGGAAAGGGAAAAGAAAAAAAAAAGCAGTGACTTCCAGCTTTTTTGGTGCAGTACCGTAATTACAAAGTAAAGTTACACTCCCATCTTTTTACTTTCATGTAGTCAGAAACTTAGCCATTTCTATAATAACAACAAACTTACCATGAAAAGTTACTGTTTCATTTTTTTCTGAAATATTTTTGGATGCAGTTTTAGGGTTAGGGTGAGAATACATTGTATTTCTGGAAGATCTCTACAGTGTTGGGATCTTAATAACTTTCCTTTCTTTTTCAGAGCACTGTTTCTACTAAGCAAAGGCATGGTAAGTTTTCTGGGGCTTAGACAAAATAATATTTTACATATCCATTACGTTAAAATCTGCAGTCTTGCTTTGTTTTCCTTATTCAGATATAGAAGCAATGAATAATAAATAGATTTTGGTCTTGTAGAGCAGGGTTTCTCAAACTTGACAACTTCAAGCTGTGTGGCCTTCAACTCCCAGAATCCTCTAGTTGGTTTGCTGGCTGGGGAATTCTGGGAGTTGAAATCGACATATTTTAAAGTTGCTGAGGTTGAGAAACACTGGTCTGGACTATTGCTAGACGTCTGTTGAAATGAGCAGTAGCATTTTGTTAACCCACCCATCATTTCAAGTGTGTGACGACCCCGCCTATGTTTTAATATCCGGTGTAAAGAAACGGTAATGACCATTTCTCACACTGGCAACTGTTGCAGCATCTCCATGGTCAGGTGATCAAAATTCAGGTGCTTGGCAACTGATTCACGTTTATGACGGTTGTAGTATCCCGGGGTCCTGTGATCAACTTTTACGACCTTCTGATAAGCAAAGTCAGCGGGGAAGCCAGATTCACTTAACAAGTATGTGGCAAGAAAGGTGGTACATTGGGGCAAAACTCACTTAACAACGTTCTCGCTTAGCAGCAGAAAGTTTGGGCTCAGCTGTGGTCATAGGTCGAGGATTACCGTACTGCTTTTTTGTTTTTGTTTTCTTTCTTTATTTGAGGAGATCAATCCCAAGTCGAAGGAAGCCTGAACCTGGAAAAGAGGCGCTTATTAAGCGTTCCGGAACTGACGCCATTTCTCCTTCCTTCCTTCTGCATAGCTGCTCCTCATGGAGAGGAAACTGCAGGAGGTGCATCCGCTGCTGACGCTTTGTGGGCAGATCGTTGAGAACTGGCAGGGGAATCCCATCCAGAAAGAGTCATTGCGGGTCTTCTTCTTGGTACTGCAGGTGACGCATTACTTGGACGCTGGTCAGGTGAGTTTGAAGCAGTTCAAGTGATGTTCTATGACAAGGGTCGGCAACCTTAAAGAGCCACAAAGGTTCTAACTGGAAGCCCCCCCGGTCAATTCTGAAGCCAACCGGAAGTCCGGCTCCCCCATAGAGTCTCCTCCTAGCGTGGCGTCCTTTTTCCTCCACCTGTCCTAATCGAAAGCCCTATCAATTGTGGAGCCGACTGGCGAGAGGGAGCTGCAGCAGAAGGATGAAAGAGCCACATGCGGCTCCAGAGCCGCATGCTGCTGACCCCTATTCTATGACAAAATGTTGTTGCTCGCAACATAAGATCAGGTGCTCCATCACAACTTAACAGCCTCTTCTTTACAGTCCTAAGTTGGCAACGGGTGTAAAGTGGATCCCCCGTGCGATCGATCCAACTTGAGGATCTTTTTTGTGATGGTTGTAACGTCACACACACACACACACACACACACACACGCACGCACACACACGTACGTAGTCATGAAGCAAATGAATCACAACTACTATAGGGCCTGGAAGTCTGGTTGTCACTTATTGTAATTGTAAATTGTGGCAGCAGTGTGACTGGACCGTTTTTTTTTTTTTTTTGACCTTTTTCACGGCAGTCACTAAGCAAATGAAAGGTTTGGTTGTTAAGCGGACCCATTATTCCCAGTGGGGAAACCAGCAAAATTGCAAATCAGTGTCATGCAACCACAGGATGCTGCAACCAATCATAAAGGTAAGCAGGTTGCCAAAATGCGATCACCTGGTTGCTACGGCGACACTTTTTACGAGGGCTGGAGATACTTAATAGCACTTAGACTAAGTAATAGCACTTAGACTAATATGCTGCTTCACAGTGCTTTTACAGCCCTCTCTAAGCAGTTTACATAGTCAGCATACTGCCCCCAACAATTTGGGTCCTCCTTTTATCCACCTCGGAAGGATGGAAGGCTGGGTCAACCTTGAGCCGGTGGGATTCGAACTGCCGAACTGCAGCTAGCAGTCAGTTGAAGTTGCCTGCTGTACTGCACTCTAACCAATGCCGTCACCTCGGCTCTTTTAAGGGCCATAAAGCCCTTAAAAGTTCATCGTAACCTCATCATAAAACGACAAGTCATAAGTCAAGGACCACCCTAGAATACAATGGCAGAGCAAATATATGAAGGAACAATGAGTGGAAGAAGATTAAAAAAAAAGAATGTAAGCTTGACA